TTAGCCCACGCGCTGCCCGTCGATGGCCTTGAGGCCGGGCAGCATGGCGGCCAGCGTGGCGCGGTAGGCGGGCGCGGCGGCGCACAGCGGGTTGCCCAGGTTGCCCAGCGGGTCCCGCAGGCGCAGGCTCTCCAGGTGGCGCAGGCCCTGCAGGCAGCGCAGCTGGCGCAGGCTGCGCAGGCGGTTGCCCGCCAGGTTGAGCTGGCGCAGGCTGCGGCAGCCCCGCAGCGGCTCCACGCTGGCCACGCGGTTGGCGGCCAGGTTGAGCACGGCCAGGGCGCGCAGCGTGGCCAGCGGCGCCAGCCCCGCGATGGCGTTGCCGGACAGGTCCAGCCACTCCAGGTTGGAGCAGTCGGCCAGGCAGCCCAGGTGGGCGATGCCGCGGCCGCGCAGCCGCAGCAGCAGGATGGACTCCAGGGAGAACTCGCCCGTCGTGGCCTTGAGCAGCGCCGGCGTCACCCGCACCCCGGAGCCGTCGTCCTCCTCTTCTTCCTCCTCCTCTTCCTCCTCCTCATCCTCCTCTGACGGCTCCAACACCTCCGGCTCCGGCGCCTCCTCCCCGCGCCCCTCCATCCCTGCGGGGAGCTCCCGGGGGGACAGCGGGGCTGGGGGGGGTCTGTGGGGTGCCCCGAGGCGTGGGGACACGCGTGGCGTGCGGGTGGGGCACGGGGACACACGCAGGGCACGTCTGGGGGAACAGGGGACGCGTGTCAGGGGGCGTGGGGCACACCCGGGGGTGTCACCTCCTCCTCCCCGCGCCCCTCCATCCCCACGGAAAGGGGCTGCGGGTGGCACTGGGGAGCGGCTCTGGAAGGACATGGGGTGTCCTGGCGTGTGGGGACACGTGTGGGACACATCTGTGCAGGAACTGGGGCGCAGAGACGTATGTGGGGAACACCCGGGGGTGTCTCGGGGCTGTGGGGACACGTGGAGGACCCAAAAGCCATGGGTGTGCTCGGGGGACACGCGGGGGTCATATCTGGGGGGAACAGGGACAGGTCCAGAGCCCACGGGGAGCCCCCACACCCCAACCGGCCCTCACCCCAACACCCCCCAGACCCACCGTGTTCCACCCCCCGGTGCCCCAGGCCCCCCATTCCCCCCATCGCCGCCCCCGTTACCATAGGGACGAGGTTCCGCCCACAACGAGACCACGCCCCCATCGCGCCCCCTCGCTGGCCACGCCCCTTCCTCCGGGCCACGCCCCCCTCGACCCCGGCCCGTCCGCCGGCCCCGAGACCCCGCGGCTCCGAAATTTCCATAAAAACGGCTTTATTGGGGTCACCCCGCGCCCCGCCCCGGCCGCGCCGCGCGGGGACACCCCGGGTCCCCCCTCACCGGGGCTCTCCGGCGGCAGAACGGGCCGGGACCCTGTGGGACCCCCCTGCCGGGGCCCCCGGCACAGCCCGGCGCTCAGGATGCGGCACCGGCGTGTCCTGGCACCTTCCGGCACATGCCAGGCCTGGGGGTCACCACCGGCACCGGCACAGCCCGGTGCCAAGGATGCAGCCCCGGCAGCCACCGGGGCACCCGGCACTTCCCGGTGCTCAGGATGTGCCACCGGCAGCCGCCGGGTCCCCTGGCACATCCCGGTGCCAGGACCCACCACCAGCAGCCATCAGGGCCTGTGGCACCTCCTGGCACCTCCTGACACGCCAGTGCCAAGGTTTCACCACAGCACCCACCGCAGCCCCGGGCACCTCCGGGCTCACGGGCAGAGCGTGGGGGGCTCTGGCCAGCTCAGCTGGGACCCGGTGACGGCGGTGCCAGTGGCAGCGGTGGCAGTGCCCGTCCCCGTCCCCGTCCCCGTGCCCGTGCCGGTGCCGTGGGTGCGCTCGTGGCGCTCCAGGTGCGTCTTGCGGGTGAAGCCGCGGCCGCAGCGGCTGCAGTGGTGCGGCCGCAGCCCGGTGTGCACGGCCTGGTGCCGGCCCAGGTTGGTCTTGGAGCTGAAGCGGCGGCCGCAGCGGGCGCAGGCGTGGGGCCGTGTGCCCGAGTGCACCAGCAGGTGCCGCGCCAGGTGCGCCTTGCGCCCGAAGCCGCGCCCGCACTGTGGGCAGGTGAAGGGGCGCTGGGCGGGGGGCACCTGCGGGGGGTCCTCAGGGTCCTGGGCGCAGCCCTGGCTGCTTTTGGCACCGGGCACCGGCGGCTGGGGCTGGTGGTCCTGGGCGCCGGGCACCTGGGGGGGCTGCAGGAGGGGCGGGGGGTCCGGGGCGCAGCCGTGGCTGCGGTTGGCACCGGGCGCCTGTGACAGGAGCTGGGGGTCCTGCACGAAGCGGGGCTCGGCCGTGGGCACCCGCGGGGGGTGCGGGGGGTCCTGGGCTCCGGGCTCCTGCGGGGGCTCCTGGGCACAGCCCAGGGCCTGGCTCTCCAGCTGCTGCCACAGGTGTGACGACGAGTTCTGCTTCCAGGCGATGCCCGTGCCGCACTGGGGGCAGATGAGCAGCTGCTCCTCGGCCAGGCCGTCCCTGTCCCTGTCCCTGTCCCCGTCCCGCTGCTCATCCACGTGTCCGTTCCCAGCCCCTGGCACCGGTGCCGCGGGCAGCCCCGGCTGCGGCGCCGCGTGCTGCTGCCAGGCGAGGCTCATCTCGCAGCCCGGGCAGGGCGGCGGCTCCTCGGCGGTGCCGTGCCCGTGGCG